TTATTGGAGGGGCTCAGCCTGTAGTGGACAGTGGTGTCCGATCAAAGCATGTCCCCACTTGGCCCTGCTCACTAAAACCCCAACTCCTTCCCACACTCACTGTTCGTGGGCCTTGGGAAGTTCGCACAGCTCTGAGGGAGTAGAACTGGCTCACAGAATCTGGTACTTCTCTATTGTAGGACAAGGCATATGCAATTCTGGACAACAGATAAGGTCTATTGGGGGCTTCTAGGGAAATTTTCATTACTTTTAAAAAAGGATGCAAGAAAGGAAATGTTTGCTCTTCTAGCCTTTGGGCACGGCTCTGTGAAGGTAGGATGTCAGGAACTGCTGCAGCCATTTTGTGAACATGAAGAAAACAGCGGAGGGAGAACCCCAAGGGCCGAGGACGTCAAGGCAGAAAGACAGAGACGGCCTGTATTCACGGTGCCTGCAGCGATTTGCGGAAATAGCCAGGCCTGGGCTTGAGTCTGGTCTCTCTGTCACATGAGACAGAATGTTTATTGCTTTTGGCTTTGTTTGATAGTCAAATGCAAATGGAAGTCTTTTTTTTCTTTCTTTTTTAGCAGAACCGGGGATTGAACTCAGGCCCTTGCGCTTGCCAGGGAAGCGCTTATTCCACTGAGCCATCTCCCTGGCCCCAAATGGAACTTTCTCAGTGATAAACTAAAAGAAAGAAAATCTGTAGGGGAGGAATGGGGTCACTCTGCTTATCGAGCCACCAAAGAAACAGGAACATGTTACTTGATGTTCACACGCAGCTCTTGTGTAGAGCTGTGAAGGCCACCCCACGAAAATAGATTGCTTTCCCTTTTTAAATTAGGATTTAGGAAATCCCCAGTTAGGTCAAGGGGCAGAAGAAATTTCTATGAAAAAAATGTTGTCTGTTGAAACATCAGTGAAGCCCACAGCTTTATACAACTAATACCTTAATAAGCATTTTTGTCTTTTCTCAATACTGTAATTTTTTTTGCACTCTTAATAAGCTTAGTATGGCTTTACACACTTACTATGTTGCAGCTTATTTCCCTTGTTATTTCTGACTGAACTCCTCCTAGCTACCAGTGGTCTTAGTAGTTTCCTTCTCTCGAAACAACCGTTTTCTGTTTTCTAAGCTCCATCTGGGTGACTCCTGTAGCTGAGACACCCTCGCCTCTGCCTTCACACTGTTCTGGCATATTTCTCCTGAAGCAAAGGAGACCAAGGAGACTGGGACCGCGTCCCTCGCAGGGACGCTTGGCTCCCCACTGTCTGTGAGCACTTTTTCCCTGTTACTCCCACTCCTCAGCTCCAGGATTGATGTTGAATTCAGCACACGTGGTTTTTTTTTTTTTT